GACGATTTAATAGATAACAATTTCCTTGAAATTTTCTTTGTATTGTTTTATTATTATTTTTTTATCATTTTTTTTCAATCCCTTCTATTTTTAGAGGGGATTGAAAGGGGGTCGAGGAATTGGAGCTGGGGTGGGGACACTGGGAGGAAAAGACACGAGACACGGGTTGGTGCATAGTCATGACCCATGAGCCAGGCTAGGGTTGAACATTACTCAATGTAACCTTGGACCCGTTTCCTCGCATGATGTCTACTATTGGATGATTAAGCAAGAGCGGGGACCCTCCCCCAAATGGACATCCTTCGACGCTTGTTCATATTTGTGCCGTCATGTCCCTTAAAGTTCACAATACAGAAAGGCATGACATACGCCTTCCTTTATTTTTCATATCTAACTAACTTATACACGAATTTATTTCTTAATAAACAAGTTCAATGGATTGTCTTCAATATTCCTCTTCGTGTCTGATTCCATGGACAGATGCTTGAAGCTGCATGGTCGAGGTGGCGGGTTCCCGCGCCGGTGAAATTAATGTAATTGCACCGGTTTCCTGCTTGTGTTTTTTCGAGGAAAAGAACAGGCGATCGTCCACCAAAGGGAGGCAATGAGTCCCAACAACCGCATTTGGTCCATATTCTTTTGAATGTTTCTTGCATTGGTTGTTGAAAGTACTCATTGCCCAAGTTTAGGAGCAGCAAATATTTAATTAACTTAGGCAATTCGTGTTCCTTTTCATCTTTCCTTTCATGCGAAGGATGCCTCTATGCTTGAAAGGTAGTTAGACAAGGGCTGTACACAACTACCTTGTCTACCTGGCCAGGGTGTCGATTTTCTTTTTCTTTTTTCTTTTTATTCAACGTCTATCATTCAAAGCCAAGTTGTTGGGTTTCTATGTTGTGTGTATACACCTCAATCTATAAAAGGATTTTAATCTTACCTCAAGACAATTAATATTGAGAAGAATAAATTAAATAAGAATATTATTATCATCACAAGAACGGGAAATTATTACAAACTAAGCTCCAAGTTTCAAGTGCAAATTAACTAGTCATTTATGTCCATGAAGAAACGATTGGTTTTCCAAACTTTGATCAATAAATAAAAAAATACAGATTGCCTACAAAAATCTTGATCGCGTGCAAATCCTGAAGCATGCCTACTTAAAAACCTAAATGTTTCGTCTACAAGATTGGTTCAAGTACTCTAATCGAGTTCTTGAACAATTGTTGCGGGCGGTGATGATTTGGACGGGCGCCCTTGTCGTTGCCATCTCTTCCTTGAACATCCCTTTCTCCGGTGACTGCTCTTGAGTAGACTGCAGCATCTTTCAGGCCTTGTTCTTATTGGCACGTCATCTTATGATTTAAAAGTTGTTTAGTAGTCAAGATCATGAAGTGCAATACACTCTAAACCCAACAATGGAAAATGTCCCGCTAAAAACCAACTTGGAAAAGTAACCTGCTCTGGAGTCTGGAGTCTGGAGTCTTCCATGCGAAGCAGTCTGCTCTGGATTGACTCTTGAGTGTAGTCTACTCTGGCGCGTGGTTCGTCTTGACTTCACTTTGGGTTGCAGACTTGCCGTTCAGTCAAATACACTGTGATTGACCATATGATCACTAATCTACCATATTCGCCTCATTAACCATGCTTTCCAGACTTACTCCAGGTATAAGAATTCTGAGAATTTACATGCCAGCACTGGTCATATTTCGAGGCTGTTTTCTCAAAAAAAAAAAAAAAAAAAAAAACAGAATCTTGCTAACACCTATTAGAGCATTTGTCAAGAGTTGTTTAGCATTACAAATTAACATTAATTTTTCTTTTTAGTTGTAAAATTTATCGTTGACACTTTAAAATATTACTATATAAAACAACATCTATTTAATTTTTATATGCAATCAATATTATTTATTTTTATTCAGATATTTAAATTTCATTTCTTTTTATTACAATTCACGGTAAATAAATATCGTTGTATAGTGTTTGGTAGAGGTCTAAGGACACTCATTAACTCTTGCCTTGTACATACAAGAAAGGTAATGTGAGCAGCGTAATCAAGTATAAATTAAACTTTTTTGAGACAGATTATAGAAGCAAACTTATAGGTTATTAAGATGGATGCTAAGGCCTGTTTTATCTTCTTCATTTTTTATCTTTTTTTTTTCCCATTCAAGAAGGGATCTGGTGGGCATTTAGAATTTTTAAGTTGATAATGGTTAAATGCTAAATAATTACACAACATTTAATAATCCAAATCACGTCTTAATCCCAGAAAGATAGTATGTTTCTGTTCATTGGAGCTTTAATCAAACGGTCGCCTGTTCACGTGTAAGTAAAGGTAATTAGATAAAAGAAGCGTGGAATTAGAGTGTGTGTAAAACTACTACAATATTTAAATGCCACCGACCACCCAATCGCTTAACAAGTGCTCTGAGCTGGGGTGTCCATATGCTTTTTTCTTGAAAAATGAACGTTGTGTTCTTTTTCTTAACATTTTACATGTCCTCTATTAAATATAGCATAATTATCGAGGAGATTATCCCAGGGCTTAATTAAAGAGGTATGCCTTCTACTTAGAACTGTTATGAATTCAAATTGTAGTTTAGACGAGTTGAAGTGGATTTCTAGTATTTAGTTTTTTTTTTTATGTTAAAGAGTAATTTCATTTTTGAGAAAATTTTTTAAAAAGATTATATTTTTGGAATTGATGACAATACCGAAGAATTTTCAAAGATTTATATTCTTTTATATTTTAAAAATATTAGGTTTTCATTCAGCATAGTGCGATGATATATAAACTAATATTATCTAAATACTTTATTATGTTTTGTTTATTGTTAATTTTTTAATAAAAATAAAATATTTAAAAGAAAGTAAATGATATTGAATATAAACATTTACTAAGTAAATGTTGTTTTACAAGGAAATAATCTTAATTAAGAATGGATTTTACAACTAAAAAAATTAAAATTGATTTGGATTATTAAATGACTCTTAACAAGTATCATGATTTAATTTTACACAATAAACACCCCCCCTATTCAATCATGTGCTCTCTATTAATTGCATTTTCATTTTTTTCAATTATCATTTAAAAAAAAAAACTTTTCTTTTCAATTCATCTTCGTCTTCTTCTCCCTGTTTTTTTTCGTTCTAATTGTTCCGTTTTTTTTTTTTTATGGCGTCTTAATAAAACTCTACAAACGAGCAAAAAACCCTAAATAAATACGCCAAGATGAACTTTGTGAATCGGGCAAAAAGAGGGAGGAGGGAAGAAGATTGAGCTTATGTTATACATTTTTTTGCAATACATGTTTTTTTTTTTAGTTTATCAAGAAGTTCGAGCTTATGTTATCGAGTCTCTTTGAAACTTCAATACTATATTAATTCTGACAATTAAAAATAAATTCTACACGAAAATTATAAATCCTGTGGTTAATCTATCCTCAATTTTTTATATTATATATTGATAGATGTTATGTAATAGAAAAACAACGACAGGCATGTAAAAATATTCTCAACGATGTGATATAACTCAACTACCACGAGCATTTCTTCTTGCCTCGAGGTTTTGACTTTTGAGTATCCTCTTTGCGGTACAAGTAAATGAAAGGGAATAAATATATATATAAATATTTATTTTTTATCATAATGGTTAGATCTGAAGTCAATCAATGGTTAGGATCTTATGATTAAATGGATGAGCGAAGGAGAGGAGGAAGCCTCTTTTAATGCATCTGAAGTTGTTTTTTCTCTGTTCTTCCAAATTATACATACATACATACACACACACATATGTATATTAAGAATGTCTGCATACGCAGTGAAAAGGCACGTGACCTCTGGGAACACAATTATCTTGTACGCCATCTACTTACTAGATCGTACCCACAGCGACAACAAGAAATACTGATCCAAAAATCGTACATCTTTACAATTTTGGAATCATAAGTGAACATTGTGCTCCCAAATACTTCTTTTTTTCCAGCTTTATTCACATGAGAAATTAATTAGAATCAGAGTTCAAATCTTTTTCTTTCTTTTCTGAATATACTAGTTTCAATTGACTGTGTTTGGTGTTGGGTTTTTTAAAATATTTTTATTAGAAATATGTTCATTTGTTTTATTTTTAATATTAGTATACTAAAATCATCTATTTTTTAAATAATTTAATATCTTTTCAGATAAAAATAATTTGAAATACATTTTTTAATAAATATATGAAAGCTAAAGAAACAAACACTCAATCAACTCACCCGTATCTGCTGCTTGAAGATTTATTACCATTCCGCAATTTTCAAAACACATGGTTAAATTAAACCCTCCTTGCCTTTCAACGGTTTAACCGTTCACTGGCGCACTTTAGCAATTCTTGCCTTTTAACGGTTTTACCATACAAGATTGCAAATAGGTAATGATTTTATTTGAGATTAATTTTAGGTTAAAATACTAAAGTGTTTGGTTATTCTAAAAAAAAACTAATTAATTATGATTTTATTTGATGATTTTTTATAAAATGATTCGAACTGTTTCATTTCAATTCTTTTAATAGTATTAAGTATATAAAAAATAAAATCTTAATATGTTTATAATAACCTATTCTTTTTTATTGTTTTTTTAATGTGATATCAACTCGTTTCTTTTTTATTTATTGATCATTAGATTTTAATTTGAATATCTTGATTATCGGAGTTTTTAGAATTTCATGTTAATATTAATTAATTTCACTTTTATTTTTTAAATAAATAGCAGTTTTTATAAAATCAATATTTAGAATTAGGGTTATGTTAGTTATTTTCCAAATAATTTTCTTAACCTATGTTATTTTTCAAAAACTTTTACAGCTAGAATGGTAAAATACCCAAACTCATTACCATCGTACACAGAGAAAGTCGCACACGCACAGTGCCTTGGGGGGACTTATCATTATTATTTTTTTCTCCAGAAGTTGCAGATATTTGGAGTATTTTGTCGGGTTGGTGTCTATATATATATAAAAAAGAAAAATATACAGAGCAATCAAATTTAATAATATTATATTAAGGTTTTCATTTTGCTAAGAATCTTAGATCTCTCCAGGGATACTTCCTCTTTCTTGTGGTCCGTGTCTATATATACACACTTATGTGTCTGTGCGAGAGGTTAACCTTCATTTCTTGAGAGAACTCAGACAAGTTCTTTCGTCCAGTACAATTACATCACTACAGAAGTATCAATGGGTAGGCATCAATTTCCTCTCCTTTTCTTTTGTTTTTGGATGATGGGTTTTTGTCGATGAGGTGATTAGTCATGTTTTATTTCAGTTTTCAAGGATTTTTGATGTGGGATATGTGTGTTTTTTATTTACCTTGTCTTTGTGTTCTTAACTACAACATTTTTTTTTCTACTGAATTCTGTCTACTCTGTATATTTACATCCACTCTCTTGGTTTTCATAAATTTCTTTTTTTAGTACAAAAACTGAAATAAGATGATTTTTAAGGATTCTTTAATAATTTAGGATTACTTTTTATAGTTTTCCGTACAGTTGGGGTCATCAGGAGTACCTGCTTTCTCATTGGTCATGGTTCTTCTTCAAGAAACCAGCTTTTGGTTTTATTGGCTGGTTTTGTTCTCATAGTTTTTCTGCCTTTTCCTCTTCAAAATTTTTAATCTCTACAGAGGTCAACATGAGCTTTTCAAATGACATGGATGACGAGTGTGAGAAACTCTTTAGGAGATTGAATCCACCCAGGTATGTATTATGCAGATTCCTCGTCATCTTTTTTTAATTTTCTAAGTGAAAGTGACCTTAAATTTTGAAGTGAAACAGATTTGCATCCATTTTGTTCACTTCCTTTTCTCCCTGTTTTTTTGATGTCAGGGTTGTGATTGATAACGAAGCTTGCAAGAATGCTACTGTCATAAGGGTAAGAGTTTTGGTGTCCTTTTTTGGTGGGTGTGTGCTCTTCAATCTTGACCATCGTTCTTGTTGTTTTTTGGGTACTAAATATTTCATCGTTTTACAGGTTGATAGTGCTAACAAACATGGAATACTTCTTGAAGTTGTACAAGTCCTTACTGATCTGAACCTTATCATAACCAAAGCTTACATATCTTCTGATGGTGGTTGGTTTATGGATGGTGATACTTCTTTTCCTTTTCTCGACACTTCTTTTCCAATTTAACTCTTCCATTGAAGAATGAAAAGTTTGTTATTTAGAGTTGTTTTTTTCCCCACCAGTTTTTAATGTTACGGATCCTGATGGAAACAAGGTTACTGATGAAGCAATTCTAGATTATATTACGAAGGTGAGTTGTGAGTTTTTGATTGATACTATCCTTTTACCTTTCTTCTTCTTCTTTATTTCGTTGAGGTGCAAACAGATCTGATTATTTGGTTTTATCTCCAGTCTCTAGGACCAGAATCCTGCTTTATATCTTCTATGAGATCTGTTGGGGTTAAACAATCCATGGACCACACTGCAATTGAGTTAACCGGAAGTGACAGACCAGGGCTGCTATCTGAAGTGAGTGCTGTACTCACCCACCTAAAATGCAACGTCGTGAATGCAGAGGTCTGGACACACAATATGCGGGCAGCAGCCGTGATGCAAGTAACTGATGAGGAAACTGGGTCGGCAATTATTGATCCAGAGAAGCTATCTAGGATCAAGGAACTTCTTTGTAATGTACTGAAGGGCAGTAACAAATCTAGGGGAGCTAAAACTGTTGTATCTCATGGGGTCACCCACACTGAGAGAAGACTTCACCAAATGATGTTCGCTGATAGGGATTATGAACGAGCTAACAATGATGAATTAGATGAGAAGCAAAGGCCTAATGTGAGTGTGGTTAATTGGTGCGAGAAGGACTACTCAGTTGTAACTATAACAAGTAAAGATAGGCCAAAGCTTCTCTTTGATACAGTTTGTACATTGACAGACATGGAGTATGTGGTTTTTCATGCTAATATTGATGCCGAGGGCCCAGAAGCTCATCAGGTATAAATCATTTGTGTTTTAATCTTTTCTATTGCCCCCAAAAATGTGTTTAGGGATGACCACTTTTGCGATTGATTTTTTGTCTCATGGATTTATGGATTCTTTTGTAGGAATATTATATCAAGCATATTGACGGGTCCCCTGTAAAATCAGAGGCTGAGAGACAAAGGATTATACAATGTCTTGAAGCAGCTATTGAAAGAAGAGTATCCGAGGTGAGTGAACTATGGTACATTCAAATCTGAGACCGTTCTTAAGGTTTACTCATAAAGCTCTCCATGTTTTTACCAAAATCACGCTTTCAGCCACTATGGATTCAAGCTTTTTTGTGTTTCTTTCCTTGCTATCTAAATGTAGATCTATCATATAATTGTATTGATTACGTTGTGACTTGGGCAATGGTGAGTTGGGTGAAGCTTATATACCGAAGAGGTGATTTTATTGCTATGATAACGACTCTGAATTGGCATGTTAAGCTATGACTGGTGTCACTCACCAGTCAAAACACTCTTGCTATTTTATATTCCATGCCATTGTCATATTATGTTTAGCTTCTTCTTGTTTGGTGGTAGATGATGATGCATTGATTCTGTTAGGAATTCACTCGCATGCTTGTGCAGAATGCTCTGTTCAAAGGACAGCTTGCTATTGGTTTTCTTGGTGTACTAATATACAACTTGTTGGGAACAGCTGATAGCATGATAGCTAAGGCTTATTTGATATCTTTTGTTTTTTAGCTGTTCTTGAAGAGGGCGTTTCCCTATTTTAGATGATTGATTAATTTCTTCCTAATTCAGGGCTTGAAGCTAGAGTTATGCACTACGGACAGAGTGGGGCTGCTATCCGATGTTACTCGTATCTTTCGAGAAAATAGCCTTACTGTCACCAGAGCAGAAGTAACAACCAGAGCAGGCAAAGCAGTTAATACATTTTATGTTAGTGATGCATCAGGGTATCCTGTTGATGCTAAAACCATAGATTCCATCCGGCAAGCAATTGGCCAGACCATACTGAAGGTGAAAGGCAGTCCTGAAGAGCTAAAACCGGTGTCTCAGGAATCACCCACTAGGTTTCTTTTCGGAGGTCTCTTCAAATCCAGATCTTTTGTCAACTTTGGGTTGGTTAGATCTTATTCTTGAGTAAACTCTTAGCTCGCTCCCCCTGTACATAAAAACCCTTCTGCCAGAAACACTCACTATAGAAAGATCTCCGGTCCTTTTAGCATACTGTGTGACTTAAGTTTAGGAACAAAGTCATTTGTCGTAGGAGGTAGAGACTAGAGAGAGCCAAGAGAGCAGTTGAAATGCTTGTATATACGCCTATTACCCCCTTCACTGAGCTTCACTTGTAACTGTAGATCCTTTCAGATGTTGGGGCTAGGAAAACAAAGAATTACAGTGGAAATCTCAGTTCTAACCTGTGTACATCATTTTCAATTAAGTATTTGTTTCCACTTGACTATGTTGTAGTCTTTTCTCGTTGTTTTCCTTGGCTTATTTAATAACAACGTTCTGCTGAAGTATGGATTGTTTAGTATTATTTGCGAGAATAGGGACTCTGTTTGACTCTAATTTTGGATTGGTGTCCAATCTGTAGCATAAAAAAGGGTCAAAATTCAATCTCAGTTTGGTAAAGGATCGTGTGGCTGAGAAAGGATTATTAGTTCATTGACACTTGCAGCTCTTCATTGGTGGATGATGGTGTCTCAAACTTGACCAAGCATCCCCTCAATTATGGTAAATTAGACACATCTGTTCGGTGGCGGCTAATGTATTGGCAATGGTGTCTTCAATCCCCACCAAGAATTTGGATTTCAAATCTTTAAGGTCGCTGTCCGATACAGACAAGCAATTAGATAAGATCTTTAGTTTGGTATGAGAAAGCTCAATGCTCCATCTTAATATTATTCTAGTTTCAAATAGTTGTTGAAATAAGAAAGTTTTTTGGAATATTTTTTTTTTAAAAATATATTAAAATAATTTATTCGTTTGATATTAATCAAAGCTATAAATAAAATACTAAAAAAATATTGATATAAATGTATTCTGAAGTTAAAAATATTTTAGGAAAACATCAAAAAAACAGAAATAAAAATTGAGATAAATAGCTAATGCAGTCGTTTACACGTTGATCAATTCATTTTCTGAACACCACCTAGGGATTCAATTTTGTTTCACTGACGACCATGACTTCGGTTATGGTTCAAACCATGGTTCTGTGATTTTGATGAGCCTGCATCTTTAGATTGAATATCTTTGCCTTGTGAGCCAGAAAAAAAATAATATTTTTTTTTAGATATTTTTTGGTATAATTTTAAAGTACTAATACCAAAAATAAATTTAAAAAGACATTATTAAAAAAAAAAACTCTTATAAAAACAACTCGATTAGACTTCACATTGTAGTCAATAGTAGTTTCTGTCTATTGGACTTTGTATCCTCCCTTGTACCAACTTTAGTGAATCTATTAATATACATATATTATTTGCTCTGGTCTCATTGGAACAACAAATAAACTACCCAGGAATTCAGGGGCACGCAACCTTACAACTGCGTGGAGCTGTGTTTTTAATGGTTTTAATTCTGCAATCAAGAGTCTCCCGGACCAATTATTATGATGGACCAGGACTCAGTTTATCTCTCGAGTTTGGTTAAAAGCGACCTCCATGTATAAAATCTTAATTTTACCTGATTTGATTTGAAGGGTAGAATTCTAATAAGCAAAAATATTCAGATAAGAGCATGCTATCGCATTCATCAATGCAAGTTGGAGCGGTCCATTTCTGAATCTTTCTAGTCAAATCCAAGGTGATATGAACCCCTTTTTCACGATTATCCTGCCCAAAACAGTGTGTGAAAGCTTCCAGCCAGCAAAAACATGTGAAAAAAGTTACAGACCCACCCTGTTCGGAGCTGTGTAGCAGGTTTTTTTTAATGTTCTCTTATTTATAAATATGTTGAAGTAAAACTTGTTTTAAAAAGTTATTTTTAATATTAATTCATCAAAAGAACATGAAAATATAAAATAAAATTAATTTGAAATATTTTTTTACATGAAAAAAAATATTTATTGTTATTTTAATTTACTGATATCTATCATCTACAGTAATCTGAAACACTCACATGAACATGGGAAAACGCGTTTCCATTATGCTAGTGATGGCCCCATTCTGTCCATTGATTAACATTATTGCTTGGGGTGTCGTCGAGGTTTTCCCGGGCGTGGCCACGTGGCCTCTCCTACCGTTCTCAGATGATGCAACGTCAGCCTCGCTACTTTTTCTTTTTCTTTTTTACTTTGGCTCGTCGATGATTGGATTAACATTGAATAATTAAGGTGTGGCTGACTTTTACTTGATGTTAAATTTCTGCTCTGAATCGCTCCGATCTGGTCCAGAGGTTGTCCAGTCATCTCGGTGAGGGCTTGGAAATTTTGAATTATTTTTTAATTAAAATAATATATTTTTACACCAATATAGTAAAATAATAAAAAAATACTAATAAAATTATTATTTTTTTCAAATGCACCGTTAGACCGCAATACTTAACAAACTTTAATAAATATTTAGAATTGTGGTTGTACCATTCTTTTTGAAATTTTGAAATTGGTTTTAGCTCCAAATTATTTTCATGTTTTTTTAATTATATTAATTTGTTCATATCAAAAATAAAATTTAAAAAATAAAAAAATATATTATTTTAATACATTTCTAAATAAAAAACACTTTAAAAAAACAATTTATACTATAATTTCAAACTCACACTAAATACTTCAATTTGGAAATGCTAGGAATTAGAAAGTTTTCAGAAGATACATCACAGTTATAATTATACGATAAACAAATTCAAGAGCTACTGTTCTTGGCTAGCAGTCACGGATATTTTCAAACACCAGGAGAAGTTATGATAGATATATAACTCCCATTGTAGAGGGGAGCACCTATAGCATTTCGAGGTTAAATTCATCCTCAAAGTCGGGTTAAAAATAAATAATCCATGCTGAAAATAAAGATTTATTAGAATTTTAGCTTCTGCATGTATGGGATTTGAAACTTAAGGATCATAAACATATCCCTGAAATTTTGAATCCAGTTTTTTACACGGGATGTCTGCGTTGCTTTGCATCAGTGCCTGGGATACTGTGTGAAAACACCAGGAAATTCAGGGATAGAACACATGAAACGAACCCTCCATAGTTCCTATGATCGTGATGGAAACCTAAAATTTAAGCCTTGAATTTTCTTTCTATAATAAATGAAACATTTTAATTTCAAAGCATGTTAACGTCACCGAAAACATATAGAAAGCACATGCCTCAATCAACGGCAACCACCCACCTACCTTTTTTGTTTTTTGTTTTTTTTTTTTATAGTTTTTGAGGCTTGAATCTTGTTTACAGCAGGTCTCTTCGTCAACTTCATGTGATTTGTCGAGCTCCAATACTTGACCAACAAGCTCCACAGTTTGACTACCGCCTATATCTACATACTGCCACGCCAATTTGATGGTGTAACAATTTGAGATTTCACTTGCGTGAATCCCCAGAAGACAAGAACCCGCCACCCCCACAAAAAAATAGAAAAAATGGAAAGACGTGCAAAGAACTTAATACTGATAAACCCTGTTACTTGCTTCTTTTTTTTTTCCGGCGTGGACTAGTCAACAGTCAACGCTCTGAAACATACGGGGGAGCTATAAAGTCCCAGCCATATAAGTAAGATAATGAAGGATCTACGTGCCACGGGGGCTTGTTATTCAAGATGATCAGCTTAGCTCGCTAGCTAGACTGGCATGGCAAAATCATGACAATGAATCTTTTAAATTAGTGCCCAAGCTCTGATTGAATGGTTATCCCGTTCATTATTGTACAACTGCTGACCATGATTCAGTTGACAGGGGACAAAAAAAAACTGTCAAGATACTTGTCTGAAACTGAATGGTAAAATGCGAAAGAAGGAAAATAAAATGCATAGGGAAACCAATAGTGTCATGTGCTTCCAGGTTCTTGTCACTGATTATCTTGAGCTTTTAAATGCGTGCAAGGATTCCTCCAACACATGAAAGATAATAAAGAAAAATGCAAAAGATTCTTACATCAACAGAGACAGAGGCGACCTCTTCTCCTCACATGAAAGGTTTGCTGAGAGCTAACCACAATAAATATTCTATTGTCGAGTGATTTTATATGGTAATTCCAGGGCATCATCATGCACGCAAGGCGTGGCAGTTTGCCAATCTCTAGCCAATCATCACTTGATTCACTTCCCTGTATTCTTCCCCTTTTTTCCCTTCCAAGGGAGTATTTTCAAACTAATTTACGTACCAATCAAAATTAAATCTTCTCTTCAGATACATTCCTGCATGGGTTTAATGCGTTTTTTTAAAAATAAATCCCTTTGACTAATCATTTTAAGATTCAAATCTAAAAAAACCAAGAGATCATTCAATCTATGATCCCCTTTAGGTATGGGCTCCCTGTATGTCTGATTAGCTAGCTGACAAGTCCCCATCATCAGCTAGCTATTGGCAGGACACATGGTCTATGATTAATTCTCTTGTTCCGATCAATTGCTTAAATAATTAAATGAAACCAGTCAAATGTACACCGAATTATAAAACTTCAAGAAGGAGAGAAGTGTGATCGGAGAGATAAAAAGTGAGGCAGCTAAATATAGAAAATGGAGGATCACGGTGAGGAGTTTCCTGGATTCCAAACCTGTGTTCACAGCGAAGAGCTGGAATACAGGAGGCCATTAAGCAGGCTACAAAGGAGAGCTCCTTGTCAACTGCAGATTAAGGCTAATAATAAAGCTCCTCTTGAATGCAAGATTGCTCCTAAAATTTCTTCAGCATCAGCAGCGACTTCTTCATTCAATTCCTTCTACCACAGTAAAGACCCTATTCCTCTTCTTTCTCCTCTTGTCTTGCCTTCCTTGCTCGAGTCTTCCTACATTCAACAAGGAAATCCTCCAAAACCTCGTTGAATTCTTATAACTCTATTTATCTATATCCATGTATCTCTGGTAAATGTGATTAATTTTATTAATTTCTGTTTTTGTATTGCCATTGGCTTTGTATATTGAACAGATTAGTTTCTTCTTTCGTTCATCGCTGAAAACTTGACAGATTTTATGGTGTACGTACTTAATGTTCTACTTGAAGGATAATGAGGGTGTTACATTTTTCCTTTTCCTCCTCTTTCTAAGACGACAATAAAGCCAGTAGCAAGGCGTCTTCTTTTTGCTTTCTTCTTTCTTTTCTGGTATCACGTCATATTCAACAAGGAGCTGTGACTCCAGAATGTTGCAGGACACCAACTTAGGTTATTATACAATTGATGCAGCACTATTTTTTCCCCATATCTGCAATGGAAACTACATGGTTACTCCAATGGAACAACGTCATCAGCGACTAGTCCCAGAAACTTAAATCATGATAAAGCTCAATCTAGCTAGCAATTTCAGTACGAAACAAAAAATGAAAATATGGACGACGAAGCGATCATATATACACCAACATTCATGCAAATATTAT